TTAAAGAGTCCTCTCCTGCTGATGTTCAGGTGTATATCAGTATGTAGTGTCTCTACTTTAAAGAGTCCTCTCCTGCTGATGTTCAGGTGTATATCAGTATGTAGTGTCTCTACTTTAAAGAGTCCTCTCCTGCTGATGTTCAGGTTGTATATCAGTATGTAGTGTCTCTACTTTAAAGAGTCCTCTCCTGCTGATGTTCAGGTGTATATCAGTATGTAGTGTCTCTACTTTAAAGAGTCCTCTCCTGCTGATGTTCAGGTGTATATCAGTATGTAGTGTCTCTACTTTAAAGAGTCCTCTCCTGCTGATGTTCAGGTGTATATCAGTATGTAGTGTCTCTACTTTAAAGAGTCCTCTCCTGCTGATGTTCAGGTGTATATCAGTATGTAGTGTCTCTACTTTAAAGAGTCCTCTCCTGCTGATGTTCAGGTGTATATCAGTATGTAGTGTCTCTACTTTAAAGAGTCCTCTCCTGCTGATGTTCAGGTGTATATCAGTATGTAGTGTCTCTACATGTCTCCATGCTTTAATGTTGCTGCAGCACCTCTTTTCACCCTCTGTCTGAAACCAGAGCCCAGTCTGCTCTGATTGGTTAGCTGGCTGGCTCTGTTCTTGGGGGCAGTGTGTGTGGGAGAGAAACTGAAGCCTCTGCAGACCATTAACATGCACACAAACCTATATGACACACTACAGGAAAGAGAACACCCCATAATAGCGCCTCTGAAACGTCGTTAGACTCTGAATATCTCGACAAAGCACAAACCATTCTGACATAATCCGTCTGCGTCTCCTTTTTTCTCCTCTTTCTCCAGCTCTGCTTTTCTTCGTCTGTATTTACATTTTTGGCAGTCACAGGAGAGTTTTAATTTACAGCCCATTTCTCTCTTAATAGCAGCGAGTGTGTGGGTGTGTGTCTGTGTGTGCTCGTACAGTAAGATGAGTCAGTGATGTCGGCACACTACTCTCAAGGCCCTTCGAAAGTCCTCTATGTATTTAATCACCGGCAACTCTAACATCTAATTGATCATTAAGGTTTCTCCTGCTGATCCCCCACCCTCTGGAGACACCTCGCAGAACACGTCTTAATATTGTTTTCGCGGATGTGTGTTTGTGCATATATGTGACTTTATGTATAAAACAGTCTACTGCCTAGTGGTTAATCTACTGTCTACAAGAGAAAACACTGTATAATATTAATAAATGTAGTGACAAATAATTATTTAGCCCTCACACAACTTCCCTTAAAGACTGACTAATAGCACTTTGCAGTAGCATTATTAGTAGTGTGTAGGGATGCCCTCTTTAAGAAGATTAGTTGACTAAATGGTCATTTTAGTCTTAGTCAATTTCTTAAGGCTTTTTTCTTGCTGAATGAAAATTAGGAGCACATTTTGTTGAATTTAACATTTAAAGTGGTGCTTTTGCCTAATTCTTGTGTAGTGGATTTAATATGTGAAGCTAATTGATTAGTCGACACAATTGTACAGGTGTTAGTCCACTAAGGTTTTTACTTTAGTTCAGGACAGCCGTAGTAGTGTGGAACATGTCATAAATATTTGATTTCACTGTGGCTGTTAGTATGAGAGTTTGAACAACCCATTTTTTTTTCTGTAACCAAGTCGAGGTTTAAATCCCACTGTGTTGAAATTCCTTTCATTTTCTCAATTGAGCATCCTCCTTTGATCTGAGTGCTCATATTATCTGCTGTAGTGGAAGTGAAGCGCTGCAGCACTTTATACGGACACGATCGTGAGAACGCTCCGCTTTAAACCTGACCTTGAGCCTGTCAAGAATGACCAATGAATTATTCAGTCTGCTGCAAACCTATGGCCGATGCATCAAACCCTCTTCCTTTCTGTTACCCAGAACCACCTGTGCTGCAAGGTGTTTTATTCATGGATGTGTGGTGATATAGGAAGCTCAGAGATGTTTTCTGTTGCCTTGCTGTGTGCTGATGGTATGGAGTCTCCTGGGTGTCAGCAGCATGGTGGTGTGACACGTCTGTTAGTAAAGACAGATCTGCAGGAGATGTGCCCACCTCATCTATTTCTATTCACATGTAGTTTCATCCCACAGACCATAAGACTGTTAAACACCTGAACTTTTGAAAAGAACATTCATCTGTTCACATATATATCAATATTCCAATTACTGTATATAGACTATTCTGCACAGTTTCTATTATATTCTGTTTCTATTGTATCTGTTTTATTGTGTTGCCCTGTTGGAAGAGCCTGTGACCTAAGATTTCCATTGTCATAACTAATCTGTACAAATGACAATAAAAGCATTGAAATGTGAAACTCTAGACTTTGTATTTTATTATATACTGTATGTTGGATTGTTGGAGGAGCTCAGGTCATAAGATTTTCACTGCCATTTCTACACTGCAGCCTTCGCCATATGACGATAAAACCTTTGAATCTTGAAAATGGATGATGATAGAAATAGCCCTTTCCCCCCACCTTTCTCCTCCGCCCCTTCCCCCCACCTTTCTCCTCCGCCCCTTCCCCCCACCTTTCTCCTCCGCTCCTTCCCCCTCTTCTCATTTCCTCTCCTAATGCTAATCTTCACCCTGCTTCTTGCTTTCCTCTCCATTTTCTCTGCATCCTCCCCCCCTTGTCTGCACTGTCTCCTCTTCTCCTCTCCTTTGTTTTCCTTACCCCTCTCCTCCTCTGCTCAGTGTGTACAGACAGGCGTGCACTTCGACGCCAGCAGTGATTTATTCTGCTTAGGCAAATGAGTGTGGCTTACAGCATGCGGCTCCTTTTTCTGCTTCATCAGTACACATTGCACAGAACAGTGGAGCAGGTTGCCGCCTGCAGGCACACACACAACCCCTGAAATGGATCTAAGACACACCCTGGAGGGGCTCTTCTGCAATGAGCTGATGTGATTCATTCCTGTGTTTTGGATGTAGTGGAATGTGTAATTGAGCATGGATAATATGCAGCTTGTGTGTATCATGTAATATGTTCAGACGACGCCCTCAGCTCGGGGGTGAGCGTGGTCGAGGGAAATAGCCTCATGAGGTCACCCACTCACTCAGTAGGAGACGCTTAACAGACAATAGGCCTGGGCAATCTGGTTTAAATGATATCAAAACATTATATTTAGCTTGTTTATGGTCTAGCACAATTGTACACCCTTTGTTGAAGCGCCCTACAGGGAAAATGGTGCCAGCATGTCATTGTTTTTTGTTTAAAAGCTTACAGAAGGATGGTATAGTCCAGTCCTCTGTAGAATTGAACACGTTTAGTTCAAGGCTGACTCATGGTGCTACAATAACCTTACATCACTGTTACCATTGAGTTTACTTTTTTACAGTTTCAGTGGAGACAAGCGGAAAGAAATGAGTCACTTCCGGCTGCCATCTTTGTTCAGCTGACGAAAATATTTTGCAACTTGATAGGGCTGCAAGACATGGGAAAAAACGGATTTATGGATTGAAAACGTTGGAACGTTATCCTTTCTGTTGCTGATATATCACTCAGGGTATATGCAGGAATCCTGAAGTCAAATGTAAAACCTTTTAAGACCTTTTTTAAGACCCTTTCCATACATTTTAAGACCTCATCGCCACTTGGAGTTCTAACCGGTTACATTGGCGACACACTTTACCTCACATTGACTATATACAGTATTGATTGTCCTTCCTCCTTATCTTCCAACCATTTGGACGCAGACTTGCATTTCCCCATAACGATGCTGTTTAACAACCGGCGTAAACGGACCTTCGCGCGCTATCAAGCAGTGAGCGTGCGATGTCCTGTTCAGATGACGTCAAACCCAACGGGATGCCATAAATAAACTACACAGAATCACACTACACACCTACGCAATGATTACATTCAGGCAGACTGTAGAACACAACCTCTTTGGACCATTTATATACTTATTGGAAACAAGCTACAAAATGTAATACCTTGGAGAATGCCCTTTAATACTTTTTAATAGCCTTCATTTTCGTTAAATTGATTTATCAACTTTTAATACTTTTTAAGACCCCGCGGACACCCTGATAACTATACAACTGACATGTTCTGAACAGCGTAGGAGCAAAAATGCTTATATAGCCCGTGTGTATCATTTCTATTATCATTATTATTTGTTTAGACTCCACACGTTTTCTTATTGTTCATCACAACTCCTTGTGTGGTTTAAGGGTATTCAATCCACCTGCTTTTAAGACAGAGAGGGTACGACAGGTATCTTTCTGTGGACTGCCGGTCCTGCTTTAGTAACTGTGTGTTTCAATCACTTTATTAAATACACCTCAACAAGGACTATTTCTTTTCGAACGTGTCAAAGTCAGCCTAAATGAGCTTTTATTTATTTGAAGTTTAGTCTCTACACACAGTGATGAGTTAAGAGGACCAGCTGTGTGTGTGTGTGTTTTGACGCAGGGGTGTCCAAACTACGGCCCGGGGGCCAAATGTAATACGGCCCACAAATGAAACGTGTGCTTGTCTTATATTGTACTTCTTAAATGTAAATGTGGCCATATATTACACAGTAGTATTCATGTGTTAATAAGACCACTTTTCAAATAAATTCAGTCAATTAGAGTTGGAAACATTTTCTAACATATCTTAGTTGATAAGAAAAAAGCCCATTGACTTATTTACATAAAAAGCTTGAAGTATACCCTTCATATTTCTCCTTATTATAATCAATCTGAGGGATGAGCTGCCAACAAAATAAATGAAACCCTATGGAGAGCTGTGATATAGGCTGTTTTTTTTCTTAAGGCATTTTCAAGTATCAAGAATAATTGACCTACATTTGATTAATTTTGCTGACTTAAAACTTAACTTATGAGGCAATATACCTCTAGTGAGTGGCCCAGCTCTTTGTATATTTTTCTGTATGTGGCCCTTGGTGAAAAAAGTTTGGACACCCCTGGTTTAGTGTCTGGCTCTCAGGTGTGTGTGTAGTGTCTGGCTCTCAGGTGTGTGTGTGTTAGTGCTCAGAGAGACGAGGTGCAGCCCCATGGATACCTGTGACCTGGTCCACCAGGATGCGGGAGGTGATGATGCGTCCGTACTGAGAGAAGAGCTGCTCCAGCTCCTTCTGGGTCATGGTCTTGGGCAGGCCGCTCACGTACAGGTTGGCGTCACGGATGGAGGCTGAGCTGGGTCGTGCATATGACACCTGAGGGGAAACAAACAGTCTTAGAGCTTCCATATGTCAATTCGGTTTTTTGTGCGCGTCTGTGCTTTGGGACAGAGGTGGGAAGTAGTGGAGTACAAATACTTCGTTACTATACTTAAGTACATTTTTCTGGTATCAGTACTTTACTCCACTACTTATTTTTCTGAGACCACTCTTTTACTTCTTAACTGTCTTAACATGTTGAACACAAATACCTGTACTTTCTACTAATTACATTTTGAACACAAATACCTGTACTTTCTACTTCTTACATTTGAACATCAAATACCTGTACTTTCTACTTCTACATGTTGAACCTCAAATACCTGTACTTTCTACTTCTTACATGTTGAACTCAAATATCTGTACTTTCTACTTCTACATTTTGAACACAAATACCGTACTTTCTACTTCTTACATGTTGAACTCAAATACCTGTACTTTCTACTCTTACATGTTGAACACAAATACATGTACTTTCTACTTCTTACATTTTGAACACAAATACCTGTACTTTCATACTTCTTACATGTTGAACACAAATACCTGTACTTTCTACTTCTTACATGTTGAACACAAATACCTGTACTTTCTACTTCTCACATTTTCCAAAGGCTGGTTCCTTTAGTTTGAATGTGTGTTTTGGTGGCGTGATCATTATTATTTAGAGCATTGCGTGCCTATTGATTTGAACACGATCCGTGTATCCATCATTTCCTGGTCTTCTCTAAAGAAGAGGGACCAATGAAACGTGTCATGTTGCCGTTGTTCAGCATGGAAACATTCATTAGCTAACAATGACATTATTGTTCTATTAATATAAAGGGAGGTCAGGTACTCTTTAAAACAGCTGCTAGTTATGGGTACTTTTTACTGAAGTACATTTCAAAGCCTCTTTACTTTTACTTGAGTAAAGAAGTTTAGTCAGTACTTCTACTTTCACCAGAGTATTTTTAAACACGAGTATCTGTACTTCTACTTGAGTAAAGGATGCGTGTACTTTTGCCAGCTTTCCGATGGCGTGCAGGTCATTGTATCTACAGGGAGGGAACAGGACTTTTCTTAGCACACTTCACCGTGGGGATTACTGTTGTCAGGAAAAGATTTAGCTGCTCAGAACACTGGAGCGATAACACTTGATCCGTTTGCCAGTCGGAGGCAGAGGAAACTTTGTTCCCTTGAGTGAAAACCGCAAGTGTTTTACTTTGAAAGGACAGCTCAGGTAGCCAGGGGAACAGGATTAGAGTTTGAAGAAGCTTCCTTCATCCTTTTCGGTTCTGCGATACCGAGTCAAATGTGGATAAATAAAAAGAGGAAAGAGTTAATATGGTGTGTTTGCAGATTCAGTAAGCTATTTAGTTTAATTAAACCTTTTAGCAATGAGCCTATTAGCAAATAACCAAAAGCCTTTTAGATTTTAATAAAGAGCCATTCAGTCGTGCGGATGCTGAATTTCACAGTTTAGTTTTATTAAGCAGGTATACACTAAGAGTAAAGCCTTTGAAATGCACTCTAATGCAGAGCAACTGTCCTCCATTTCTAACAAATACTACTCGGAGTAAATCGCTTGCCACTGTAACCCCTTTTTGAACATGCTCTGAAAGCATATGAAAACATACACACATGCATATTACATCCATATCAGTCTTGCCATTGCAACACTCTCACGGAAACTAAACGACACAATTTCCCTCACTGTCACTGCTCCTCCTCCTCATTTCCACACACTTACAGAAACACTTATCCCCTGTGCACATGTGGATAAACATGCATACATAAAGCTTTCAGCGCCTTTTCCCAGTCATTTACATTTTCCTCCAGAGAGTACACCGTCTCCTCTAATGCAGCAAATGGTGAATAACTGGTGCTCCTGTGCCGTGTGTCTTCCAGCAGCAGCAGCAGCAGCTCTGTTCTAGTGAACCTTCACTTGTCAACCGCTGTCCCCAAACATCCTCATGCGTAGACGCGATTTTGCTCGAGCGAAAGTTGCTCGAATCCCATTACCACTGCTGCTGACTGGAGCAGCTTTCCCTCGCTGTACTTTCATTACCTCTGACATGTGGAGACATAAGCCATCAAATAAGGTTAAAGTCAGGCAAATATGGTGGATCTGCAGCCATATCCTTGAGCAACAGCATGGAAATCCTGCTCAACTCTTAAGGGTGGGAGTTTGGGAACAGCTGGCTTTCCCTGCTTTCTTTCACACGTCTCCTCTTTGGCCTCCTCTGTCTTCTCCTTCCTCTTTTTGCATCGCTCTTCTTCGCCGCATGGATCTTTTTCCTTCTGCTTCCTTCCTGCACGCTGCCTCGCTAACCCTTTCTGTCTCTTCCAGATTCTGCCTCTCTTTTCATCTCCCTCATTTTCTCTCCTTGTCAGCCAAATCCAGATGTCTAATCCATCAACACCTCCTCAAGCTGTGAGCGGTATTGTGTTCAAGTTGTTGTGTGCTGAACTGGAGTGTGTGTGTGTGGGAAAGTTGGAAGAAGTGTGTGAGATGATGTGCATGCATGTCACAGTGAGCTCTTCTCACCTTTGGCATTCTGCTTCCCCTCACACCTCAGAAGGAAAGCAGCCATCGCTGACACAATCTGAGGTGTCGTGGTGCAGGGAAACCGACTCAAAGACAGAGACACACATCGCCCCGAGCGTTTAAATCTCTGGGCCAAGCGCTTCCTCACAGAGAGTGGGAAGGGTGTGACATGAAAGAGCGGCAAACTTAATTTTAGAATTACCCGTGCTGCCTTTTTTAGTTTACCTTGTAAACCTTTAGGGTATTTAAAGGCTGTTGTGGAGACAGAAAGCAAAGGAAGGAGAGTAGTGGGAGAAAGGAGCTGAAGTGTGAAGGAGCGATAGCGGCAGACAGAGATGCAGAGTCTGTCATTACGGAGACCGCCTTTATCTCCAGAACAACTTGAGGCAACCTCTTGTGTCGTGAGAGTGTTGTGTCGTGAGAGTGTTTTGTCGTGAGAGTGTTGTGTCGTGAGAGTGTTGTGTCGTGAGAGTGTTGTGTCGTGAGAGTGTTGTGTCGTGAGAGTGTTGTGTCGTGAGAGTGTTGTGTCGTGAGAGTGTTGTGTCATGAGAGTGTTGTGTCATGAGAGTGTTTTGTCGTGAGAGTGTGGCAGAGGAAATCTGTGAACTCACACTGCTGCACTCAATTAAGACCTCATGAAAACCCATGCTACGTAAATGACCTTTTGCTTAAGAATAACTTGTTCTAGTCTTTATATAAAAAAACACTTATTTTACTTAATTTGTTATATTGGCTGACTTCCTTTTAATTGTTTTGCTGATACTATGAAGTGAGAATCAAACCACATTTTATAAAGATGTCCAATTAGTGTCATGTGAAGAAATGAATGTCTTCAGTGTGTCTATATTGAGCCAGATGGTTTAGTTCTCCTGCAGAGGTGTGCCAGCAGAGCCTACATTTACCAGAATGCATTGCCCATAAAAGCCACTTACTCTACTGTTATCTTCCAAAAAATAAAGAGCCAAAGTCTTGGTCCCTCCTCTCGTCGGAATATCTAAGTAAGGTTATTAGAAAAGATTGGGGCCAATTATTTATTTTTATATCTGACCAAATGTTTGTTTTTATAATTCTGTGATAAAAGTCTGTGTTCTAAAAAAAAAAAAAAAACTATTTATATTTATTTGGAATTATGACTTTTTTTTTTTAAAGTCTAAGAAATATGTAAAAATTATGACTTTAATCTCAGAATTTCTCATTATTCAAACATCTTTTTTTACTTTTGCATTTTAAAGGTCACCTATCATGCTATTTTTAGGCAATAGCATAGGTCTCAGATATATAAAAATATATAAAAAACATGTCTATGAAGTGTTTTGCTCAAAATACCAAACAGATCACCCATTCTAGCCATGCCTCATATCCCTCTATTTCACTTCCTGTTTCAAAAGTGCTGATTTTGGGTATAAAGCTTGAAAAAAAAAAGAGAAATTGATACAAAATAAAAAAGGAGGGGTCTGAGCTCATGCGGGACCCGGCAGCTACTGTCTAAACTAAATACTGCCGTGATGAAACCCCATATCATGGATTATCAAGGGTTATTTCTGAAACAGTATGGAGCTCAAAGGCTTTCTCTCTTGCCGGTTATACCACAAGGTGAGTTCCTTTTTATTTCCTGCTTCTTCACACACATGCTCTCCAGTACAGGTTAGCTCTGAGTGTTAGCGATGCTAATGTAAACACCGACCATATTACGTCCAAAACAGTCGGGCATTGTTTCTGATAGCAACTTTCTGATAGGGCCGTGGGTCCACATTTCAGATATTACGTCATATCGGACGCAAATCTGGATCAGCTCAGTTGTTCCCCCGTTTTTAGAGATTTGGGTACGGAGGAAAAGAGAGAGGGTTTTATTTTCTGACGCTGCGTGAGATCCCTGACACACCGGGGACACATATTGATGTATAAAAGACATCAAAAAGTGCATTTTGCATGATAGGTCCCCTTTAAGACATTATTTGGCTACATGGAAAACACAACTATATAAGATGCAGTTAAAATTAAAATACATTAAATAACAATCCACAAATCAGAACAAGAGGAAACAAAGAACTGATTAACAATAACTTATATTGTAGGATAAAGTTATCAAATAATATGAATTGTCACATTTGACCATAGGTTCAGTAGTAGTGCTTTGTGTTCTACATCACACCCATTTTCCCATCTTCCATCAAAGATATGGACTTGATTTTTTTATTCTCATAGTACATTTTTCCATTCCATACCAGATTCTTCCACTGTGAGCTTATTAAGTTATAATCTTTGTAATTTGTTCAATAACAAAATGACTTCTTATCCAAACCATACACTGCAATCCTAGCTAGTTTGCAACAAGGACAAAACGAGGAAGGCAGCTCTGTTTCTGAGCGGCGTCTGAATCCCCTGGCTACACAGAGACAGAAATCCAATCTGAAACGACCTGTAGTTCCTCCTCATATCACATTATGTCACGTCAGATGCTGATGCTTGTGACATATTATTATGCTGTCATGTACGGTTGTTGATCTTTCTTTGATATTCTTCTATGCTCTTCGTTCAAAGAAAAAGACCCCTGGAGGCAACAAAGGTTTCAATCAAATGCAAGAGCAGGAAGAAGACATTTTAAAGCTGCACACTCAGCTTTTAGGTTAATATAGCACGATTAAACAAGGGGTTTATTTCTCTAATAGACTACATTTACCATTAACACTGATTGGATTTAAGGGGAAAGTGCATGTATTGCAATGTGAGCAATCCAGTGTTGAAGTCACACTTGTAACTGTAGGGTTGCATATGGACAACACACACAAATACAGTGACACATCCTCATCAAACGACCACATCTCATCTCAAACAACCTCAAATGTACACACTTAGTATTTAGCAACACAACTCGTGCAAAAACACTCCATTCAAAACTAACACATCCTCACATTTGACTCTTTGATTTGTTGGTTTTTAGTCTGTTCAGTAAATGAGCGTGGATGTGCTGAGCGATGGCCAGGCAGCGCACATTGTCTGGTGTAAAGCGGGATTAACAACTACAGGGTAATCCTATCCTATTAGATTAGATTAGATTAGATGAGAGAAAGCGAGAAGCCAGGGATTACCACAGAGCAACAGATTACTGCCCAGTTTAAACACAACAACATATTGGCAGGCGGAGAAATGACGATAGTGGAGGATATGAGAGAGCATAACACATGAGGAGCATTAAGACTGATCTGCTGATGGTAAATACGTTTCACTCAGAATCTGATACACATACGAGGAATTTGCTTTGGTGTATGTGGCGCATACAAAGACACAGAAAGAAGATAATATAAAAGTAAGACTGTTATGACAGCTACTTAGAAAAGACTATTATAACAAATTAACAATATTTACATTTGACATATACTGTATTTAAAGCGGAGAGCTGTGTTGATTTAATAGAGGTAGAGTGGAGAAGTAATGTGCAAAATGTGCAGGATTTACATTTTAAAAATAACACAATGTTGTTCATATGATGTTCATTAATGTGCATCATGTTATTATGGGATGGATACAAGTCAGTGTCAGTGGGGGGTCCTGGGCCTCGTTGATGAGGGGAAGAAACTGGTCAGGTGGCGAGAGGTTTTACGGCCCCTACACACGGCGGCGTGCGTTGACGCTTCAACGCTTCTGCCCATTCACTTTGAATGGGGTGACGTCACGATTCGCCGAACTGCATTGTGGGAGCGTCGCTTCGCTTTGCTCGCTTCAAAAGTTGAGCAATGTTCTACTTTTGAAGCTTCGACGGAAGCGTCAGCCAATCAAATCATATGCCAGTACAAGCTCTAGCCAATCAAACCGTGTGCTTGTGTGTCCGGGGCCGGGAGATTCATGTGATTGGTTGTTGGTCGAGCTTCAGACACGCCCGCCGGCAAGCTTCAACGCACGCCGCCGTGTGGACGCTGCGTTAGTCAAAAACAACTGCTTTAAATTTGAATGTTAAACATATTTGAAGGAGGGACAGGATCAGTCATGCTATTTATATACATATTTTAATTGTATTTAATCCATTATTTACTTTATCTTATGTTTCTATACATATTTTATCTTTTATTGCATATTCTTATAGTTTAACTTAATTATTTTCACTCTATTTAATTAAATGTAATTCTAAAATAGAGCAACTGTCACAAAATCCAATAAGCCCAGGATAAAAAAAAATCTAATCCTGATGATTCTGATTAAAATGTCACCTTTACATTTTGACATTTAGAAACTAATAAGCATATCAGCCACATGCTTTTAAACGTGTCTCTTTGATTCAAATGGTCTTTTGCTCACGCCTGATGATCCAATGTTGCCCTTTAGCTCCTTTACTAACAGCGTCATTATCTAACAAGTCTTTGAGGGGAAAAAGAAAGCAGTCTTAGATGATTTTATCAATGATTATATCGAAGTCATGTCAGTGTTTTGCAGGAATGCTTCTCAGTGGTATGTTCTAATGAGACTTGTGAAGCTGCACATGGTGTTGGTTACCTTGATCGTTTTGGTCTGAAGTCTGAGTCCATTTAACGTGTTGATGGCTTTCTCTGCGTCCTTTGGATCGATGTAGTTGACAAAGCCGTAGCCCAGACTCTGCCCTGCAACGACACAAAGAGGGAAGGAAAAGCTTTTAGAATCTGTTTCTCCCTTCAATTAGCTGCTGGTTCAATTTGCTCACTGACAGCAAGAACACATCCTTTAAACTCATCAGCCGTAATCTGTAGACTAGAAGGGAGACGGACACACCCCTCGTTATCAGAGAGGACAAACACTTGTAACATGACGCCATATTTCACAATCATTAATAATTCTCCCCTTTCCATATGTGGTGCCTTGTCTGATGTTTTGGGAATTTGTTGGCCATACTATGCTTTTTTAGGGGTTTCCCTTTCCTGTAATGTGTTATATATTCGTTTTAGTGCATGTAAATGGTCTGCAAAGGCTAAAATCCCTGTTGTTTCCCCCATAGGGAGTTTCATTTTCATTGCGATGTAACACTCTATCGGCTGAAGCTCCAACACATTGTACGTGATAGGCTAAGGGGCGGGACATCTCTAAGCGGTTGACCAATCACAACAGAGGCGGCCAGCTAACCAATCAGAGCAGACTGGGCTCTGGTTTCAGACAGAGGGTGAAAAGAGGTGCTGCAGCACAGGCAGTATGAGAAAAATAAAGAGCTTTTTGAACATTAAAGCATGGAGACATGTAGAGACACTACATACTGATATACACCTGAACATCAGCAGGAGAGGACTCTTTAAAGTAGAGACACTACATACTGATATACACCTGAACATCAGCAGGAGAGGACTCTTTAAAGTAGAGACACTACATACTGATATACACCTGAACATCAGCAGGAGAGGACTCTTTAAAGTAGAGACACTACATACTGATATACACCTGAACATCAGCAGGAGAGGACTCTTTAAAGTAGAGACACTACATACTGATATACACCTGAACATCAGCAGGAGAGGACTCTTTAAAGTAGAGACACTACATACTGATATACACCTGAACATCAGCAGGAGAGGACTCTTTAAAGTAGAGACACTACATACTGATATACACCTGAACATCAGCAGGAGAGGACTCTTTAAAGTAGAGACACTACATACTGATATACACCTGAACATCAGCAGGAGAGGACTCTTTAAAGTAGAGACACTACATACTGATATACACCTGAACATCAGCAGGAGAGGACTCTTTAAAGTAGAGACACTACATACTGATATACACCTGAACATCAGCAGGAGAGGACTCTTTAAAGTAGAGACACTACATACTGATATACACCTGAACATCAGCAGGAGAGGACTCTTTAAAGTAGAGACACTACATACTGATATACACCTGAACATCAGCAGGAGAGGACTCTTTAAAGTTGAGACACTACATACTGATATACACCTGAACATCAGCAGGAGAGGACTCTTTAAGTAGAGACACTACATACTGATATACACCTGAACATCAGCAGGAGAGGACTCTTTAAAGTAGAGACACTACATACTGATATACACCTGAACATCAGCAGGAGAGGACTCTTTAAAGTAGAGACACTACATACTGATATACACCTGAACATCAGCAGGAGAGGACTCTTTAAAGTAGAGACACTACATACTGATATACACCTGAACATCAGCAGGAGAGGACTCTTTAAAGTAGAGGACACTACATACTGATATACACCTGAACATCAGCAGGAGAGGACTCTTTAAAGTAGAGACACTACATACTGATATACACCCTGAACATTAGCAGGAGAGGACTCTTTAAAGTAGAGGACACTACATACTGATATACACCTGAACATCAGCAGGAGAGGACTCTTTAAAGTTGAGACACTACATACTGATATACACCTGAACATCAGCAGGAGAGGACTCTTTAAAGTAGAGACACTACATACTGATATACACCTGAACATCAGCAGGAGAGGACTCTTTAAAGTAGAGACACTACATACTGATATACACCTGAACATCAGCAGGAGAGGACTCTTTAAAGTAGAGACACTACATACTGATATACACCTGAACATCAGCAGGAGAGGACTCTTTAAAGTAGAGACACTACATACTGATATGATCCTAAATGTAGCATAAAAGAGCCTTAGTGAGATTTAGAATCATCAGTAATATGAGTAAAGATGCCTATATTCCTCCTTAAACTAAAACATTACGCAGCCCTTCCCCCATCCATCTTTTCCTCGACAATCTCTTATAACATCTCTTCATCACTTCTGACAGATCACAGTGACTCCCGCCCCGAGCGCCGAGGGTCTTGGTGTGACTTTTATGTCGACCACGTGTCATGTGAAGCCCGCAGATATATACTCTACAGCTGCAACATGTAATAAATGAGAGCTTAGTCCCTTTTCACCACTCCGTATCAGAACTACTGAAAAAGAAATGAGCAAAACAAATTAATTAAACTGCTCTTTCTGATAATGTCAAGTATCAATGAGATGTTTAGGGCAAGTGGTCAAATGTTACTGCATTTTTGCCTCCATTTCATCCATTTATGCAATTGTTTTGTACACATTCGTGCACACGAGCAAAGCCATATCAGTTAAAAATGATAGGAGCTGTTTTTTTTGGTTGGTTTATTGTTGATTTGGGGTTTGTAAGTTTGGAATTATAGTTTTAATAATAGGCTGGTTACTGAACAATGTACACATTTAAAAATAGCACTGCACAAAAACAAATGAAGTTGGAAAATGTTGATTTGTTGCGTTTAAAAGACACAGTTGAAGCTTTGCTTTAATACAAACTTAAATATTTTCTATAACTTTAGGAAGAATGAACAGTCGAAGGTCTTTTTTACCAAGAATTTGGGTTGAAATATCAGCGTAGCATCCAACACAATTGCCACATCTGAAACCCATTTCCAAAAATGTCAGAATTACCTTAATATCTTAGGTTATAATACTCATATTGAATAGTAAATAAGCTTCTCTGACCCTTGAATTCCTCATGTCTTGTTGCTTGTTATAATCGTGACAGAATTTTCTCAACTCATTTATTTGAACTAACTCATATTAGTAATGTCAAATACTGAATGCCAGGATCTCCTTGAATTATGTCGCAGCAAATAAGTACATAAAAAACAACATATTTGTTACTGTCTTTGCAGCCGTGGAGAAAGAAAGAGAGAAGAAATACCACCCCCATTTCCCTCTGAGCTCAAAGTGTCTTAGATAGCAGCCTCGCTTTGGAGAGTGGAGCAGGCCTGACATCTCCAGTGTTTCCCCGACAGATCAAGCCTTTCAAAACAGGACTCTAAGCGGACGCCTGCAGCCATCAGGGCCTTTCAGTCGGCTACTTCTCAACAAACAGCCGCTATCCACTGACGCCACACACAAAGAGAATCCCAGTCAGTTTAAGGGGAGCGGCATGCACATATTTACGCTAATGGGAACAGACAGCGGTTAGTCAGAGACAAAGTGAATCACAAAATATGGAGCATGGCTGTTTCACAAAATAAATACATTTGGGCTATGGATATCACGGCGCAGAACGGCTCAACAGCGAGCAGAGGAAGGGCCAGGAGGGAGTTGTAGTCCAAACATCAAACAGCTGATGATTTCTCTCTTCTTCTTCTCTCCTCTCCTCTGGATTAACTGTGGATTATCAGACGCTCTCTATTGTTAATTAAAAACCTGCCATCCTGGAGAGACTTCTGCTATTTTTAACTAACCCTCCTCTCCTCCCACTCGTCCTCCTCCTCCTCCCTGTCTCTACGCTGACATCAGGAGTTACATTTGTTAAATATAACTCACACAATCAGTCTTTATGGCTTCTTTATCAAATCGTTTACACACAAAAGAGACTAGGAATACGGATGAGAAAGAGAACATGTGGCAAAATGAATTCATTAAATGGGTTGAATTGGAAAAAATGAAGGTGGAGTTAGCTTGCCAATGAACCTAGATTTAACCACCATCAGCTGATTGTACCGTTCCTCTTCGCCATCTCTCCCGCCCTCGCCTTCTACTTTCCCATCACCTTCCTCACCCCTCTCCCTCATCTTCAACAAGAAATGTGAGGTTCGACAAGCGCAACTACCGGAGGGTGAGCTGACAATAAAGAGTGCCGGAAAAGAGCACTCATGCCGGGCCATTGAGATGGGCTGGTTGGTGCTTAATGGTACCGAGACACTTAGGACTCAGTGAGGAGTCCAGGCAGCCAAATGGGGCCAAACTGGCAGCCATGGACGGACACGGAAGATTGGTATGAATTCTTCTCGTCACATGTACACAGCGAGATGTAGTCTCTGCATTTTACCCATCGTAGTATGAAGAGAAAGTGGGCAGCTATTATATAGACAACGCCGGGTTCTGGCCTCCAAGGACAACTCAGTAGTTTCCAGGAAGCAAAATGACACCTTTCAAAATTCCTCTCCGTACTTGATCCATTCTTGGACTTAAACTTGTTGGTTTCGACCCTCCAGTTTCAAAGCCAAGTCCCTATAGACGGGGTTAACCCCAGTGTAGGTGTCTATATGCTTGTGTGTGTCCTAGTTTCTATGCGAGTGTGGGTAGCACACATGTGAGTCGGCATTTGATTACACTCTTGTAACAAACGTAATAATAAGACTTTGATTTCAGGCCTGATGAAGGTGATATTCAGCAGCTGCTATATGTAAATGATACGTTATTGGGAGTGTGTGTGTTCACTTTGATATTGGCATATCTGAGGCTGAGAGGAAGAAGGTGGGAGCGAGAGATGAGGGGAGATGAGGGGAGACAGGTGAGCGGGGGAGATGAGGGGAGACAGGTGAGCGGGAGAAAGGGGAGGGAGCAGGGGGAGATGAGGGGAGACAGGTGCAGCGGGGGAGATGAGGGGAGACAGGTGAGCGGGGGAGATGAGGGGAGACAGGTGAGCGGGGGCGATGAGGGGAGACAGGTGAGCGGGGGCGATGAGGGGAGACAGGTGAGCGGGGGCGATGAGGGGAGACAGGTGAGCGGGGGAGATGAGGGGAGACAGGTGAGCGGGGAGATGAGGGGAGACAGGTGAGCGGGGGCGATGAGGGGAGACAGGTGAGCGGGGGCGATGAGGGGAGACAGGTGAGCGGGGGCGATGAG